CCGCAAATTTCAAAAACGTTGAAAATAGGGAAGGCTTTTAAATAGGGCCTCAAAAATAACCAATTTTCCCCCCAGATTTTGTGTTTACAAGTGAGCGTCCTCATTATTCACTGGCATTTGTTTTAAAGTTTCATATGCACGTGCACAACTAGCAAAAGATATAAATTTGCATCAAAGAGAACTCTCGATTACTTTCCGAAGAAATATCCGGAATATGCTAATAATTGGCTTGTCGTCACAGATAGCAGTGAGAGCCGAAACGGTGAACGTCACCGGTCATCGTGTAGGATGCAATACTTAATTATCTTACTCGGGTTATAACATCACAGAAACTCTCACAAAGAGTTGCTCTGATGTTATAATGTATCATTAATCTCTTTACCCGGTAATTAGCATATCCCGGAGATTTAACCGAGGGTCCTTTTTGATGCAAATTCTATCTTTTTGCTAAATGTGCACGTGTATATGAAACTTGAAAACAATGCTAGTGAATAATGAGGACGCTCACTTGTAAACACAAAATCTGGGGGGAAAATTGGCTATATTTGAGGCCCTATTTAAAAGCCTTCCCTATTTTCAATGTTCTTAAAACTTGCAGGAAATATTTCGTGACGATTGATCTCGGGATTATCGAATTTATAGAAAAATTTATCGAGCGGTTTTTGGAAAAATGCGAAATTATTAGGCATGGACCAAATTACGCCCAAAAACTGTATAAAAAGCAGCTAAATTCAAGTTAATAAAATTCTTCTTACTCGCGATCGCCCAGAGCAATTCCCCTCTTTTTTCGTATGCAGTTTTCAATGGAATCAAACCACTATGAGATGAAGCCTCGTTCCCAAAGCTTATCATTTTCTTGAAATATTAGCGAATTGTGTAGGTAGCATGCTATTTCACTGTTTTTATTATTCTTAAAACTACATTTCAAAATATTTCAAAAACGCTCTCATAGAATTTGTTCAAACTTTGCCATAATGAAGGCAATTATAGCAGGTACATACTCCCTAAAGCGATTTCTTAAAAAAACTCCTGGAACAGAGAAACACAAAGATAAATGAAAAACTTAATGGCGTCATTACGTTGCCATGACGACTCCGATTGCAATAAAACCCAGATTATAAGAAATTTTCATCTTTATATAATACAGTTGTGGTAACCTTTTTTCCATATCTTTACTCATGCCGACGTATTTAATGCTCAAAGTTGGGAGGTATCAACCCCAAAAAATCCAGTCGAGCCACCTTAAGGTGGCTCGATATAGTTTTTCAAGGTCAATACCTCCCAAGTTTGAGCGTAAACTGCGTCGCCATAAACAAGGATTTGGAAAAATTGACACCACAGTTGTATTAGATAAAGAAGAAAATTGGTTATGATCAGGGTTGCAATGACATCGGAGTTGTCATAGCAACGAAATGACGCCATTACCTATTTTACTTGCAGCAGTATTTCTCGGCACTGGGAACTGTTCTTCCAAAATCGTTTACTGGAGCTTTTACCTACGATAGCTGCCTCGATGTTCGTGAAGTTTAAGCGAAATCTGTAAGAGCGTTATCGAGATATTTTGGGATGAAGTTTTTCTGGTTAGAAATACGGTAAAAAATTGACAATCTTGATGTTCGACTGTTATCTGTACTAAACGAAGCGCTTTTGACATGCAATTTCACCTCATAGTAGTTTCAATCTTTTTAAAAACGTGTGTGAAAGATCATGGAGATACCTCCAGCCGATTGCTAGAAAGGAGGATTTGATTAGTATGTATCAAGGCGCTCTTGTTAGCGGTGATGTAAACATTTCGGTCTACTTTAACAAATTAGCGAATAATTTTTAAACCACTCGATAAATTTTTTAGAAAATTTAATAATCTGGAGATTAACCCTCCTTTTATATGACCTCTTAGTTTAAAGATTATTGATATATTGTAAAATAAGGGCTTGAATGCGCTAACATTTTGTCAGAAATTTGGTGTTTACAAGTGAGAGCCTCTTATTATTCAGGGTATTGTCTCCAAGTTTCATATTTTCGTGCATAACAATAGCTAGCAGTTTTGCATATGTCAAATGCATTGTTAGTTACTGCTGTTCACGTGAAAATGAAACTTTGAGACAATAACCCTGAATAATAAGAGGCTCTCACTTGCAAAGACAAAATTTCTGACAAAATATTAGCGAATTGTAGCCCTTATTTTACTACCTTACAATATATCAATAATCTTGAAACTAAGAGGTCAAATAAAAGGACGGTTTATCTCAACACTCTTAAATTTTTTAGAAAATTTATCGAGCGGTTTAAAAATTATTCGCTAATTTGTTAAAGTAGACCGAAATGTTTACATTACGGCTAACAAGAGCGCCCCGATACGTACTAATCAAATCCTTCTTTCTAGCAATCGGCTGGAGGTATCTCCATGATCTTTCACACACGTTTTTAAAAAGATTGAAACTACTATGAGGTGAAATTGCATGTCAAAAGCGCTTCGTTTAGCACAGATAACAGTCGAACATCAAGATTGTCAATTTTTTACCGTATTTCTAACCAGAAAAACTTCATCCCAAAATATCTCGATAACGCTCTTACAGATTTCGCTTAAACTTCACGAACATTGAGGCAGCTATCGTAGGTAAAAGCTCCAGTAAACGATTTTGGAAGAACAGTTCCCAGTGCCGAGAAATACTGCTGCAAGTAAAATAGGTAATGGCGTCATTTCGTTGCTATGACAACTCCGATGTCATTGCAACCCTGATCATAACAAATTTTCATCTTTATCTAATACAACTGTGGTGTTAATTTTTCCAAATCTTTGTTTATGGCGACGCAGTTTACGCTCAAACTTGGGAGGTATTGACCCTGAAAAACTGTATCGAGCCACCTTAATAAAGCCATGTACCCCCTGTTCAGAACTTTCACTACCTTGGCTTTTTGCTGCAGTCATTGTTTCTACCCTTCTTTCTCCCTGTCTCCTTTGTCTTTGTCTATAAGTCATGCGTCCGTAACGTTATTTCTGAGAGTCCGCTTAATACGGACACCCGGATAACGCAGACACTATGGCACGTCCCCGCGGCGTCCATATTAACCGGGTAATACAATGGTAACATGGCACGACATAACATAAGGAAGAGAACAGGTTTCATTATAAGGCAGTGCACGTAGTTCACGGGACGAATTTGGAAAAGACGAAAGATGCGCGTACACAGAAGACACACGCGGTAAAAAGCAGATTCAATTCATTCAAATTTTATTGCGGAAGATTCGATTGGTCTACAGTTAAAGATCAATACGGTGACGCAGATCAGTCGCTCTAAATAGTAAAAGGTGTTTGTTTTTTAGTAGACAGTGCTCTACCTTTATGCATTTACCCCACGTCTTCGGAAAACAAAGGAAACGTTATCAGAGGGATTCTAGCATTCACAAAAAATCGTCATTTTTCAGTGTCTCGCAGATCAATTATTTGTCTCTGCCAATTCCTGAACCGCCAGCAACTGAAAAATCGCGATATTTTTAGGTCAAAGTCGCCCAACAACTGTTTAAGATTAAGTCATGTCTCGGCGTGTTTTCATACCTGTGTATCCTGCAGTAGCGCCTCTGACGCGCAGTCTTCTCGCACATATGGGAGCCCGTTGCCTTCTCGCTCATTTGCGGGCCCGTTGCCTTCTGGCTCATTTGCAGGCCCGTTGCCTTCTGGCTCATTCGCAGGCCCGTTGCCTTCTGGCTCATTTCCGGGCCCGTTGCCTTCTGGCTCATTCGCGGGCCCGTTACCTTCTCGGGGGAGCACAGTCCATGATATAACGGCAGTAATGACCGATAGAATAACTGTTTTTACTATGCTATCTGTAGTGTCTTTTTCAAAAAATGATTGCCCATTTAAAATCACTAACGTAATAAGGGAAAGGAAAGGAAGTATCAATGACAAATATAACATGGCAAGTTTATGATATTTTTTCTTCAGCTGCTCAAAGAAATTACTAACTATAAAGACAAGGACAACAATGACAACACAAATTAACAGAACAACAGAAACACCCCACAACGCGTTCATCATAACCCCAATAACAATCCAGCAAAAATGATAACAAGTCATGGATGCCAACAGATAGATAACAATTCGCGCGGCTGGCGAAATCGGACTATTCTGATTATTATTATTATTATTATTCTGATTATTCTGATTATTATTATCATTATTATTCTGATTATTCTGATTATTATTATCATTATTATTCTGATTATTCTGATTATCCTGATTATTATTATTCGGATTATTCTGATTATCATAGGCAAAACTAAGCCCCGTCAGCGGTATGATAAATAGGATTGCTAAGATATGGTATTTAATAGGACCACCACTTTGTGCGAATAATAACGCAACGACCGCAATGAAAAGTCCAACTTCTACTAAGAATAGGAATCTTGAAACAAATATTAGAGCACGGAACATGGTAGGCGATTTTTTTTTGAAGTTTTTAAAAGATACGACAGTAAATGTAGCCACCCAAGGGCCGAGAAAGACTGAAAAGATACAAGACAGCCACATTGTTGTTATTATATAAGCACGACGTCCTTTATCTGTTAAGTTCGGTTTATGCCCCTCGGTGATACACTCAGCTGTGTTCAAACTTGGATTCTGTAATCTTGGACTGTCAGCGAGATCTTGAAGCTGAAAGAATGATAATTGAAGTTTCAACTCGTCTCTGTTCAGATTACATTAAGTGAAAACTCAAGTTCTCTTAGAACTTTTCTTTTTGCAATTAATTGTTATAAATTGTTGTCTTTGCTACAAGGAGAACTGACTTGACACTGATAATTAGCAATTAGCAAGGCTGAGTAGGATGGGAAAAATTAACTTATGAAGAATTCTGCAGATCTCGGAGCGTGTTATATACCGAGGCCGACGGCCTTCGGCCTCGGTGGATAACACCCTCCGAGATCTGCAGAATCCTTCACATCCAACGAAAGTCGAATTCAATAATTGCTTTATTATTCATTCAAAATAAACCGAATTTTGAAAACAAGCTAAAACAAGCTTTAATACCTTGGTCGATGTTAGTGTTCTGCTAATGTTCTGCCGACTGTTCTGCCATATTGTTTTCACTAACTCGTCCACAGGTTTTCTCGGTTAACGGTTCAGTAATCTGCAACTTTCGCTGCACTTTTGACGTCATCGGTTCAATGTGGCAAAATTCTTCCAAATTTGGTCAACATTAGCTGGTTATAATGAATTATGCGTGTGATTTTAGCCAATCAGACACGGAGAAATATTTTGAATGAATAATAATTAGACTTCTGGCGTGAGGATCAAGACTGAGGACACAAGCAAGCAGTGTTAAGAAGGGGTCGGTGCATCAGACTCTCCAACTTAGACTTCCGTGTTTCGAGGCTTCAGTTCCTCCACACCCTTTCTTGAAGCATAAATAAAGAGGTGCGATCATTGCAAGACGTGGAAGAAGTAGAAAATACCGCCTATAAATAACGGATTAAAGGAGAATTGCACTATGACGAACTTTTACTACAACTAACAGAATCCTTCAGTTTGTTGATTTCTTGTGCAAATTAGGACTATTGTTTTTTAAGCCGCAGCGGGGTTGACAAACTTGAATACGAAAGAAAAAAACAAAATAAATTCTAATAGCTGTAGTCAAATGTCGTCATCGTGAAATATGGCCTATTGGACACACGAGTATGAAGCCCATTATAGTCCAGTTGAACGGCGATGTAAACACAAGCATAAAAGGAAGCAAAACGGATTGGGGTAGACTCGAATATGAAAGAAACGGTATTGCACGTCAGAAAACTAGCATTTTTAAATGCTAAAGGTTTACGTATCCGTATTCATTTGAAAACGAAACTTTTTTTCTCCGTTTTCAAAAAAATTCGCGTCCACTCGCAGCGTTTTCGCATCGTATTCTCCCGTCCACACGTATACGATGAATCGATTTGAGAACGAAAACTGCGCATGCTTGACGCATACGTGTTAAAAGACAAGAAAGGGAAACGCCTGTCCGCCATCTTGAATAAGTTTCTAATATTGCGCGGAGTGGAATGGAACTGATGTTGTTTCGGAAAGTTCCGTTTTCGTCTGTCCACACGTACACGCGAAAACAGCGTTTTCAAAAAGTTCCACTTTGGAGAGCGTTTTCGAAAAGTTCCGTTTTCATCGGATACGTGTGGACGGAAGCCGTATCCGTAAAGAAAAAGTTGTGTTTTCAAATGGAAACGAATACGTGTGGACGGGGCTTAAGAAAAGAGGGAACATTAAAAAATCGTTAGGTTCTCGGTTTCGTATATTTTAGGCAAGTCGTTGAGGGTTAGAGATTAAGAGAAGAACGTTGAAAAACTGGCAAACTGTGGCCAACGCCTTCTGGAACCCTCGGCATTAACACAAGATCTTTTGCAAGCTTTGTAGCGCACCTTGAACCCAGAGTGTTGTTCCTCCAAAAGTGTTTGAAAACAAGAAGTCCAGAGCATCTAATTGGGTTTTTCTATGTCCTTAAAATTGGACAACAAATTGAACAGGCTGAACTGAATAAATTGTCTTTTGCATAAGACGCTAAAATTGGACATAGTTTTCCCTCCTTTAAAAATGAACTCTACTGGGTGCCGTTTATTGTCCTCTATAAAGAAGCTGTAGAAACTTGCAAGTAACTAACGTTATGCGGTTATTATTCGTATAGACGTGAAATGATGGAGCATAGTATAAATAATTCCGAAACTTTTCAGTCACAGCCCATTTTTAAAAGAGCCAGAAACTCCAGTTTTCCTGCACGCAAGTGATAGGTTTTCACTGCTGGAGTTAGGGTCCTTGATACGTAACCAATAACTTTCAACTTCCCGTCCTGCTCCTGGTAAAACACGCTGCCACGGCCCTCATGAGAGGCATCCGTATGCTTTTACAAATGGTTTGGAAAAATACGGAAAAGCCATCACTGTTTAATGTAAGTTTACTGTGATTGTCTCCTGGTGATCGTCGACCAGTTGAGCCAGTGGCTATTTATTTATTTTATCTATTTACCGATACAGCAACCCCTCAAAAAGAGGATTATTGGTAACTATTATTTCCCCCGACTGTAGCATTAGACTTGCCGCCTTGATTAACGCTTTACGATACCGCCATAAGGTCATAGAGGGGTTTGGCGATGCGTGAGAAATCTGGAATGTACTGTCTGTACTAACCCAAGAATCCGAGTAACTTGCGGATGTCCCCCACAGTAATTGGTTTCTCACTTTCAACTTCTGGAGTGCTACCGTATCCTCCGGGTCCAAAGAGTAACAATCAGCTTACACGATGCTACCTAAATATCGGACCCTCTGTTGGAAGAATTTGTACTTGGATGGATGGAGTACTCGCCGAACATCTCTGACATGGTCTTCAAATGTTCGCGGGCTATAAATTAGAATATCATCAAGGTATGGTATACAGATATTGTCAAGTAATCCGGGGGGTTCATGAAACCAACTGGGATCCTGTTCCATTGATACAGCCCCTAACAGGGTAACGGGGCAAGGGGTAGGCTTATTTCCGCGACAAAGCCCTGGTGATAGTGATATGCCTTTCCTGGGTCGAGAACAGTAAACCACTTATCACCCCACCGGTCATTCAAAATACGCTGTATCCGTAGGATTGGCTGGCGCTCGGGACGCGTTTTCCTTTTAAGTTCTCGATAGTCAATAGATAATCGTAAAAAAAAACATCCTTCTTCTGAACAAAAAAACCATGGTGGAAGAATATGCCGAGCGGGACTTGCTGATCCAGTTGCGGTTGATCAAGTCTTCTATATATATACTCCTTCACTTCTCCGTAAAGGGGTTTTGGAATGGTCACAGTTCTTTTGCACAGGCGCATCAATTGGACTGATTTCCACTTCCAAATTATCCATGCTCCCAACTTCATTCATGTTTATGGCAAACCTCTTGTCGTAACAGTAAATTGTTGTTCTTCCTCCAAGTGGCTAAGGCCAGCAGGCGGGTCCCACAATTCCTATGCTTGTTCTTCTGATGGGGACACGTCAACTGAATTTCCTTCCTGGGGCCCTTTTCTCGAAAGTCCCGAAAATTAACGGGCCCGGTAAGCTGTTTCCGTTTACATTAAAGACCGGGGTTTCAGTAGTTTTGCATCTAACATGATAAAACTATCACTCCAGTTAATGAAACAAAATGGAGTAGTTTTTTAGCCAGGACCCGCGCTCTTACTCTTTTTATTTCTACTTGAATATTTGATTTCGGGCCCGAAAAGTTACCGGGCCTTTCGAGAAACGGGCCCCTAGACGTGCTCTTGGTCTGGAAGCTTCCGAATAGGTAACACTGACTTACCGTCTGAATCTGACCTAGTTCTATTATTCGTTTCAGCAGGATGTTCTTATCGCTGCAGTTATGTACTAAGATTGTAACCTGTGCCCGGAACTATTTTACTCAGTTCCTCAGACAATCAAAGTCCTTCCGGGAGATCTCCTTCTTCCTCTGGCTCAAATACTATCGGCAACAGGCCCGAGATGGACACGACACTTAACGTTTACTGACTGTCCCTTTAGGACACAAAATATCTTTCTTGCGAGCCCTCACTACAGACGTGCCAGCGGCATCCTGAGTTTTTGTGCGAACAATATTGAAAAATGTTCCCACTTGGAATAGTGAACTGAGGGAAAAGATTGTCGAATTATATTTTCAGAAACACCTACGGGATCGTCATTATGTTTCTTCAAAATCTGCTCTATCACACTGAATCCAAGAATGAATAACTCCTGTCCCTGTTGTCCCACTACCACTGGTATCGTCAGTTCGTCAGAGTCCCCAGCTAGTCTAAATGTGACTTCAATCCAGTCATCGAAGGGAATGTCAGTCAAAAGGACCCAATGCAAAAATGGCTGCCAGATTAATAATCTTTTTTAAAAATTAAAATTAGCCAGACTAGCCTCGCGTTAGATGACGTATTCTTTTGAATTTGTACTGGACAACGAGGCTAGTCAGTCTAATTATTTGGGCGTGGCCCAAATAGAGTAATGGAAACGGCTTGTTTTGACGCAAATGTGCAATAGGCAAGCAATACGTGCTAACGTAAACAAGGCAAGTAAACAAGCGAAGCGAGGCGAATGTCTGTCATTCGAACGTCTTGTAAAAGGTAAGAGGCATGTGGGAAAGAAAGCTCTGCTTGCACACGGCACTTAATCGCACTTTTACGATCTCAAAATTTAATCTGAATCTTCAGTATTTTTGCCTCATCGAAATTTGCAAGTCTGAAGTCCAGGGATGAAATCTATCAAAAAAAAAATTTGGAATATTAACGTCGGGTTTTGGTCACAATAAGATCACAAGCAACGAACCTTGAAACACAGAAACTCAAAAAATGGATCGAAATCCACCAATCACAAACCATAAACAATGACCTTTTGAACCCGTTGAAGAAAACTTTCGTTTCCTAAGAGGTCCGCTAAGATGATAGCCTCCCACGCAGGCGTTTTTAGGGGAACTCGTTTTTCATCCCTCCCCACAACGTGGGGAGGAGATGATAGACGTCTGATATTTTTGTGACGAGAGGATCGAAATGCACCAATCATCGAAAGATAGTTTTAATTGCATGTTTCCTAAGAGGTCATCTGAATTTGCTCTTTTCTTTATTTTATGTCCATTTTTTGTGATTGGTCGATTTTGTTAGGTCGAGTGGATAATCCAATGAGGGACGATTTGGATATCGTTTGATCCGAAATTTTTTCGAAGCAGAAGTGAGAAGCAGTTTGGATATCATTTGGCCGCGGCGTTTCGAGGAACGTGTTATAATATATTGTTCAATCACGTTATTCCGGGTTAAACTTACAAATGCACACACTGTTCGCGGTAGGCCCGCACTAAACAACAACACTGAGTGTTTTCGGAATGGGCTGGTCCGCGAACTCAAAGAACGACTAAGGAAATTATGACGACACTCAATGACGTACAGGAGTGTACGTGTAAAATGGATAAGAGTTTGAATAGAGGAATGCTGAACAAGTTTGAGAGTCGCAAGATTTGTGTAGCTGGTTATCAGTAGTGATTTTGATTTTGCATTGCGGAACACAGCGAGTTGCCTGTGATAAAAATCTGTTCCGATGAAGGAAGAGACGATTGTCAACAATTGAAACCAAAAGGGACTGAGGCTTCTTTTGGGACTACTGTGATAACTGCAACAATTCTTCTTCGATTTTGTTTAGCAGGGTGACTGTTAATGTACTTGTTTTTGTATTGCGTGTTGTGTTTTTTCATACGATGCTGTACGTCGGGATTTTGCATTATCAGCAAGTTTTGTGTTAGAGTGTTTTGATGGCAGCGAGGTGACGACAAGAGAAGGTAATGAGCTAGTTGTACAGAAGGAAAATTGTGTTGTGGAGGAAATAAAAGAAGTTGAATTGGGTTCTCGTCGTGGGAAATGTATTTATAACAGAACTTACGATTTCATTGGTTTAAATCAGGTTAGTCCATTATATTTTCGGCATGACAAATTACTGCGGATTCAGGTTAAGCGTTTAATGACGTGAGTTATCGCGTTCGTTATCACGGTTGATTGGTTGCGTTGCGAGGCAAATTGTCAGGCGTTGCTAGGCGGGAATGATATCGTTCTGTCTGGGAAAAGGCGCCTTGTCTTATCGATCTGTATGTCATGGCGATTGAAATCAAGATAGAATACTCCTACTATTCTACAAAAAGAATAACTCCAGTATATATTGTCGAAGAAGAGCTTATGAGCATGGAATACAGCAAGTTCGTAGAACGCATTGTGAACGAGGTGCGCCATCTCCGAAGAATGAATTCATTGCGACTTACAGTAAAGGAAGATGAAACTGTCGACGCGTAGATTTGTCCAGAAAGTATTTCAGCTTGCAGATGAACGGTTTGTTAGACAAAGGAGCTAAGAGCATCAGAATAAGAGTCTTTGAATTCGCTTCGCCAGCCGTAGATACTGGTATTCACAGAGTAGAAAACATGGCTGAGACGGGAGCAGAGGTTCGCGAGATAACACGGACGCATGTTCGACGCTCACTACATTTACAAATCGACCGGGAAATATCATTGTTAGTGGGTTACCTCCTCCATCAATGATTTTATCGATGATGATATGTCTTAGGTCAGAGGATAAAGGTTTTCCTGGGATATAAGAGCGACCGCTCTTGCTTACGGTTAACATGTTTACATTCTTTAACGTACCTTTTCTCCGACAGAAAGATATCATCCCCCGCCTAGCAACGTGTGACAATTTGCCTCGCAACGCAACCAATCAACCGTGATAACGAACGCGATAACTGACGTCTTTAAACACTCAACCTGAATCCGCAGTACCATAAAATCGACATTGTAATTCGAAACTCGCATTGTTTTCAAAATTTGCATAAATCGGGCGCTGCAAAGAAATATTTAGGTTACAAGCGCTTCGAAATACTGTACCTTCAGAACGGCTTAGCTTTAACTTGTTGTGCTATATCTTTCAAAACTATCGATCGATTCTAGCTCAAAAACTCTCAAAACAGCGGTTTAAATGTTAAAGCCCGTGACTGGTTGAAATCGAATCGACTTTGGATCGTAACCCCGACCGACAGGGCTTAACTTGAGCGCCTGAGCTTAAGTTAAACTTTTCTGGGCCAAACGGCTTTTTGGGGGGAATTTTCTGTTTAGAATATCCGAGTAGACGCAACGAGAAAGTAAATTGTCGTTTCCTAAACTACAGACTGTCATTTCGCAAACTACAGATTCTCATTTCGCACACTACAGAATCTGCAGTTTGAGAAATGAAAATCTGTAGTTGTAGGAAAAATGGGGGACTACTCATAGTCTATTCCCGTTGCGTCTACTCGGATATTCTAAACAGAAAATTCCCCCCAAAAAGCTGTTTCGCCCAGAAAATTTTAACTTAAGCTCAGGCGCTCAAGTGGGTGGGTGACCCACCGTGAAGATCTTCTTAAAGGTCCATACGTTGTTCTTTCTTTTCTTCTTCTTCTTCTTTTTTGCGTATTATGTGGTGTTATTGTTAACAGTGTATTGAAAAGCAGATTTAGCATTATTTCTGAGTCCGGATTTAGAAAAAGAAAAAAACAAAGAACAAATATGGCCCGGTGCAGTTCGCCCGAAAATTATTATTCTTCGGGCTGTAATACAGAGCTGGAACTTTGCAGACTTTGCTGGGAAACCGGCAAACTAAGAAATCTGGGTTTTCGACAGAGTAAAGCGATAATAATGCCTCTGATTCCAATCTCCTATTCCTCTGTCTCTTGTTGTCGGCGTTGCCTTCGCTGCGCTAAGCGATGTTCCTTCTGCTCCGAGGTTTGTTGTTGACGTCTTCTCCTTCGTTGTTTACGCTGAATTTGAAGTCGGAATTCTCCAGAGGATTTTCATTTCGCAAACTACAGATTCTCATTTCGCAAACTACAGATTTTCATTTCGTTTCGTTCCATTTCGTTTCGTTTCGCTCCATTTCGTTTCGCAAACTTTGGATCGATTACTATTTTATCAGCTTCTGGTATGAACGAAACGTTTTTCTTCTCGATAAATTTCACTCAACAAATTTAGAATGATTTACTTGACTTTTCATATGTGGAACGAACTGACTTTTTTGTGGAACGAACTGACTATTTTATGGAACGATCTGACTATTGATTGGAACGATCTGACTTGGAACGATGCCAACGATCTGACCTTGGAACGAATGACCGGTTACCGTCATGCCCCTAGCAGACTACCAATGAACAAATTAAAATCTTTGTTACAGAAAACACGGAAAGTGACACTTTTTGTATGGTAGAGTATTCGGAAAAATACACCATTGTCGTCTGAAATTCATTGTTACACTTAAAGAGGTATACCCTGGGTACCAGAGGTTTTTCTCGGTGTTGGCCGAAGGCCGACACATCTTCGGCCGTAGGCCGAAGCGACGAGCGGCGAAGCCGCGAGAAAAACCTCTGGCACGGAGCGGTGCTTTTTACCGTCCCCGTTGACCTTGCAAAGCAATAGCGCTCTGCTCCAGAGGCTTTTCGCGCGGGTCACTATAAAGACTTGACAGAAACCGGAAACCGCGCTAGAAAAGTCTCTGGCACCCAGGGTAAAAGAGGTACAGAAGTAACTGTAACAGTGTGGGGTTTTTACTTAAGGGCCAACTCCAAAACTAGTTCGTAAACGAGGGAAGGTGTATCTGTCGCCCAAGCATCAGAGCACAGGCGATTTAGGTGGAATGAGATATCCAAATAGGCTTCTAAGTAAGAATTTGCCCCTCTGTACATGTAATTATCCATTTTATACTGCTTAAAACAGTTTGAATCACCGGGTTAATTTTGGCCAATTTAAGCTTTGTACTGATATAGAGAAGAATCCAGGATCTTCAGTTTATGTAGATGCTGCAAAAACAATTAATGCTCCATACTGTCAAGGAAATGTTACAGGATTTGGGGAAAATGGTGGACAACGATGTGTCGCAATGAGTCTGTGCGCTTTAATTTACAGTAAGATAACAAAGATTACTTCAGTTGATGATATGACTCAAATAATGATTGTTGGTATTCAATTATATTCTTGTCTGTCACTGCTTGCAAGACAATCTATGTCAATGTTAACAGAATTGCCAGGAATGGTTATAGTGTTTGAGCAATTTTTCCACCTTGAATACAGTGACAGTTATACTTGTAACATCCATCACTATTGTATAAGCCACTCACAGGTTACAGCATTTGAAACACTCTTGGCACTGAACTACAACTCATTCATTTTAATGGTGGCAATTCAGTATTGGTGTTGGTATCTACAGCACTGAGGCTGGGGGATATAATGCATTTGATTCTCATGCTAGAGATATGTATCATAGCAGTCATAGTGAAGGGACATGTGTATTGTTGGAAATACCATCCATGCATAAATTAGTACAATATTTTCAGACTCTACATAGGAATGAGGATATATATGAACTTAAAGGTGTACATATTGCCACCTTTGAACCTCATCTTTTCTCAAGCAATGTTGAAAGTTGTAGTATATCAAATGTTAATAGTTACCAATGTTCCTGTAAACAGTGCTGCCCTATAGCAGTTTATGCAATGTGTTACTCTCTTATCAATCCTTGTGGATACTGGACTTAAGGAACTTTATTCGCCCTTGTTGGTAACCGGAATACACTGTACAGTGATGGGTGTGAAAACACATCTGTCAGTATCAGTGGAGCTGAGATAAACCTTACTCTCTGGGCTGTAACCACTTATGTCCTATGTTGTGATTTGGCTCCAAGCATGTCTGCATTGATGATGTGCATATTTTCAAACATTGTCGTGAAGTGACACTTTTTTTTATGTGGATTGGGACATACTGTATAAGCTGTGTGGTTCGGCAAACAAGAGGAGTTAAGGATTTGTCTTCTCTGGTAAGATATGATGACAGTTCTTTAGCTGCAATAAGGCATGTTCAAAGTATCATACCCGTAGTACGACCACGCCCAAACATACGCTCACACAGCGTCTTGTTTTAATTTAAACAAAAGAATATTATTCTAGCGGCCAGTTTTGCATTGGGTCAATTCACAGCCTCCAAACTCAACCCTTGCCCATCTTCTAACAATTCATCATTACTCCTTAATTTTTCGATGGGGAGGTAAGCCTTCTTCCATGCTCACGATACCACCAAAACCTGAACTAGTGCACAAGTGTGACATTACAAAAATTCAAATTTCTGAAATTATGAGAGTTGTTAGCAAATTATTCAGAAAGAACCAGATGAAAAAAGTGCCCTTGCCAAAAACATATTTTTAAAATTGCCTTACGTTAACGATCCAGGCCTAATTTAGAAGGATTCATTTGCCGTCATTGGAGCATAACCTTGCTTATATCTCCTCGCCAATTTGAACGGACAGGCTGATTTTCCGCAAGTGAGCATACACGCTTCATCTTTTTTTGCTGAATAAGCCGACCAATCCCATAATAACATCACAAAGAGTTACGTGTGTTTCTTTAACGCGACCCCTCAACTACCCCTTTACGAATTGATGGACAAGTACTCGAAATAGTAGAGAGGTGGCCATTAGCAGAGGGTCAACTATAAAATTTTGCATGCATTTCTGCACAAGCCACACCTGTACTATATTTCATATGGTACATTGCGTGGTCAGCATTCATGATTATATAAATCTAAGAACAGTTGTATTTGAGGACAATTCCCAAGTATAGACCCTCCCCACTGGGATTACATTCGGACGGAATTATCAAAAGAGGCTATTTTACTATAGTCTGCGACCTACCCCTCAAAAAAAAATTATCACTTACTGATGCCAAAGCATTTTCAATCATTCTCTCACGATCCTCCTGTGATACATTGCAGCAGAAAGGCGCAATCGTAATGTTCAAGTACTGAGTCCTTGAGGCAACAAGAATTGAACCAATAGCTAAAACTTCCAGTACATTTTCAGGAAAAGCAGCATACAAGCATGACATACTCCACGTGTAATAGACTGGCCTGTAATTTTCTGTCCCATTGGCTCCATTCAAGGTCACACGGACCAGAAGAGATGACAGCCACTTTACAGGGTATAAAGCCTGTGAAATATTGAAGTAATTGATATTTGATCCCAACAATTTGTAGACTTCCGCATACGTCTGAATGCAGCTATTGGTGTCATTACAAGCTGTGACTACAGTCCCAGGACATGCTTCAACAGAGTTTTGTTGAAAGTTGAACATCATGATGTTGACTGCGATAAAGAGGAGGTATATCTGGAAACCAACTGGTAACGCCATGGCATCAAAAAATTCACCTACAGGCCACACATTCACACTCTGCCAAGTCAAATAGCAAACATCCACTTAAACTTCGATACAGTTTTGATGATTTTTAGGTCAAAACCATGTCACTGACTTTAAAGGGGCCAATTGACACACTATTTGCTATCTTTTTTTTTAAAAAAAAAAAGCTTAAATGTGTTTTTAGAGATATTTCAACCCTCCTGATTAGATCGGGAGTCTCCCGCTTTGTTTTGTTGCCACCCGCTCTCCCGACTTTTATCAGATCCTCCTGATTTATCATGAAACCTAAAAGCAAGGGAAAAAATGGCTAATCTTTGGTATTTTTTTGCCATTTGAGGGTAAAACACCAAGGTGGTACTCCATATGATGGCCTAAACTGGAGGCTCTGCCCAAAAGGGCTGCCTTTTTCAAGCTTCAGGTATATGAAAGGGTAGGGATTTCACTACCTGAAGTATATAAGAGGGTTGGGAAATCTGTCATTTGGGCTAACAGATGAATTGTATGGCTTCATAAAGTCAAGAAAAAGTTCTATTTTTGTGATTGATTCCTATTTAAAAAATGGTGCATTTTCAGCAGTTAAAGGGGATGCAAAGTTCTGAACAAGGTATATGAAAGGGATACAATTTGTCAATATAAGGTACACGAGAGGGGTACCTTTTCACGAAAAATGTTATATAAAAGAGTAAGGGGTGGGACCACAGGGTTATCAATGGAGAGACTGGGTGAGACAGGAAAGTGTTATGTGTAATGTTTTACCCTGGGGGAGGTACTCAACAAATTTTTATACATGGAGGCCCCACCATGTATTGTAAAAATGTAGGAAATGGCAGTGTTCTCACCAGGATTTTGCCTTGGGGAGTCCCAGGGCCCCCTCTTCTGAGAAATAGGGGCCCTGTAAGAACATTAGGGGGACAAAGTTACAAAAAACACGCGGTACGAAGAACCTGAGCCCGCACTCCAAATTGTCTGTTACATGAAGTACCTACCTGATCCAATATGGCGGAAGAGGTGTTCCCGATTCGGAGGAGGAGTTTACGATGTAGTGGGACGTGCGTGGGAGCAATGAAAGTAAAGGCAACAAAATGAAAGACTTTGACTCATTTGATATCATGTCTTTTATTTATTCAAACAATTGCCCCTGCGCCCTAACGGGCGCATCTTCTTCGTTTTAATGCGCCATTTCAGTTTTTCTTGCGGGAATCCCGCAAGGCCGCGGCCTGGTGAGAACACTGGGAAATGGCACTTGAGAGAACCTAAATTTGCAGAATTTCCTGGGAGAGGGGGCATGCCCTCCTACCCCCTAGAGGCTTATGCCTTTGACACTCGTATTAGCTCCTTTGGGGCTAACAAAAACCTCCCTATTTTAAGGGGTTGGAATATCTGTTTTTGTATCAAGTGAGTTCCAAAAATAATAATCCATTTTTGTCATTTAAGACCACATTTAGGCATTAATTTACTGTAATCTGCTTTAGGAAGTGGCAAGGATGGATGTAGATTAAATATAATTTTTAATGTTATGCCTGCAAAAAATCACCAAAAAATTATAATGGTTAGTGCTACCAGAAACTCCTAAGGGGTTGAAACGTGTAACTTGCATTCACTGCTCGTGAATATTCACTTTTCCCATATTTGGAAACCTTAGTGAAGGATATCCATTTTCAACAAATGGCTGCCACACAATCACCATGCAGATTTTTAAGACAAGAGTTCTGCATTTCAAGGTTAAAAAACACCGTTAAAGGACAAAAAATGGAAAGAGAAAGTTCAAAAGAATGCTCAGCTTTGTTTTAGCGGAAGAAGGGAAGCTTTTCATCAAGAAAATTAATCGTCCTTTGAGGAATTCAACCTTGTTTCCTTCATGGCGGAGCACATGGTCTGTTTTGAAATGCAATCAAGGCAGCAAAGTTTTTGTTGAATTTTCAGGTACATTTTGCACTCTATGGCCAAGACAATTTCGTTTTTGAAAGGGAATTTATGTATTTTTAATGTTTCATAGACGTTTTATAAATTTTTCTCTTCTGCGCTAAAGAAAAATAAATGCGCCCCGATTGGAGATGGATTTTGTATTGCATTTTGCCATGTGCTCAGCCGATTACACTTGTGTTAACGGATCCACGATTCAGATAGTGCTTTGTGAATTGCTTTAAAGAATAACTTTTTGGATTTTGAATAAAAATTTTCAAGAAATGGCTTCTCTGTCTATTGTTTTGAGTTTGTTCATTTATAAAATTAGCTCAAAACACCATTGTGACTAGTTACACGTATCACTTTTTGCGAAGATGTCAGGTTCGCTTTTCGATACGCAGCTGATGAATTTTATTCGAAAATATTTTTTACTGTTTATTCTAGACTTTTAATATAAGAATTTTAAAAGCTTATTTGCAGTATAAGTTTACTGTGCAGAGGGTCAACGAGGCATCGTTTTTTGAGTGACAACTTCAAGAAGTCGCCAGGACATCAATGGGTTTCATAATGTTACGTTTGGCCCGGGTGGTAAGCCAATAATATCCTGCTCAGTATTTCAGTGAGATTCCTGGTTTTAACCTTTGAAAGCGGCTTTCTCGGCTTTCAGGAGTCAATGGGGAGTTTTTCGCCGTTTGACAGCCATTTTTTTAAGCGGGCAAGGGAAGGTGAAGTAGAATTATGTCAGGTTGTTTCCAAAATTTGATTGGTCAGTTATCTTTTCTTCTCCCTCCAAACATGGTACTTTCGAAAATGAATAATCACGAGCATAGGACAAAGCAAACATATGAGAGTTACACGTTTCAACCCCTTATGAGTTTCTGGTGCTACCTGATGAAATGCTTTTGATATCATTTTCATAACTCTACAAAAGCATTTTCTGTCCGGTATTGACACATTATTAAAAACAGAAATATCCTCGTGACTGAGCCCTTTTCAGAACGCCAGATTAACTTCCTGTTACTTTAGATGAAGGAGAACTTGGTCAGGAGGTAATATTTCCGCATAGCCCTATACATTTTAGACATTTTACATACTATAAAATAATATGTGTTAGAGCTAATATAATGTATTAAGCTAAAATTAAGCTACAAGGCGCCAATTCTTCGTACGCGAATCATACCTGTTATAAACTGACCATCCTAGAACTTTCAACCGGAATGTAGGTTAACCAACTAGGTTAACCGCGGTCAATCTCGTTCTCAGAGGCCGCGATTCTTTTGTACAGCAATTAGTAAGTACGGTAAGTACTTCATGTATGATTATTATAGTGTACCAAGAAATATTTCCTTTAATCATGTGTGTTTAATGGCAGAGTGTCTTGGGTTGCTGGAGGTACTTGGCTTACTTTAGCCTGCATGCCAGGCGTTCGAAAGGGAGGGGGAAGGGAATTAGGGCGCGAGCCTGCCACGCAGGCTAGGCTTACTTCTGTGTCTTGGGTTGCTTGAGTGTCTTGGCTTACTTGTGTGTCTTGGCTTGCTTGAGTGAATTGGCCTACTTCACTTACTTAGCATGCTTGAGGTACTTGGCTTACTTGAGTGTTTTAGGTTGCTTGAGATTCTTGGCCTACTTCAGTTACTTGGCGTGCTTCAGGTACTTGGCTTGATTGTCTTGGGTTGCTTGAGAGTCGTGGCCTGCTTCACTTACTTAGAGTGCTTGAGGTACTTGGCTTACTTGTGTGTGACTGTCTTGGGTTGCTTGAGTGTCTTGGAATACTTCACTTACTTACCGTGCTTGAGGTACTTGACTTATTTGATTGTCTTGGGCAGGGTCTTGGGTTGCTTGAATGAATTGGCCTACATGTACTTCACACTTAGCGTGCTTGAGGTACTTGACTTTCTTGATTGTCTTGGGTTGCTTGAGTGTCTTGGCCTACTTCACTTACTTAGCGTGCCTGAGGTACTTCACTTACTTGATTGTCTTTGGTTGCTTGAGAGTCTTAGCCTACTTAAGTTACTTGGCGTGCCATTTCAGGTACTTGACTTACTTGATTGTCTTGGGTTGCTTCAATGAATTGGCCTACATGTACTTCACTCACTTAGCGTGCTTGAGGTACTTGACTTACTTGATTGTCTTCGGTTGCTTGAGTGTTTTGGCCTACCTCACTTACTTAGGGCCTGTTTACATGGAGGTGGGGGACCCCAGGTAGGTGAGGTAACCTGCCTGTACATATAATCTCTTATATGGTCACCCCCCCCCCCGATCATGTAAACGTGATGAAATTAAAATGAGAGATTATATGGACAGGCGGGTTACCTCACCCACCCGGGGTCCCCACCTCCATGTAAACAGGCCCTTAGTGAAACACTTGTGAGAGAACGCAACACGAGAAGCTCTCTTTAATAAGATAAGAAGTAACTTAAAGATCCTGCTTATTAAATATTCGCGTTGACACATTACGTACCCCTAATCTTAATAACAAATACAACAATGCACGCTTGGTACTCGTCACATCTTCCCTCTTACAAAAGAGAATAACGCAAATAGAATACATAAACAAACAGCTCGATTCATCCCTAACTTGTATACCAAAACAACACTGGTCACACTTAGCGTGCTTGAGGTACTTGGCTTACTTGATTGTCTCGGCCTACTTCACTTACTTAGCGTGCTTGAGGTACTTGGCTTACTTGAGTGTCTTAGGTTGCTTGAGTTTCTTGGCTTACTTGTGTGTCTTGGGTTGCTTGTGTGAATATTGGCCTACTTCACTTACTTAGCATGCTTGAGGTACTTGGCTTACTTGAATGTCTTGGGTTGCGTGAGTGACTTGGCCTACTTCACTTACTTGGCGTGCTTGAGGTACCTGGCTTACAAGTACCTCAAGCACCCCAAGTATCTAAAGTAGGCCAAGCAACCAAAGTTACACGAAGTAAGCCAAAAAACTCAAGAAAGCCAAGACACACAAGTAAGCCAAGTACCTCAAGCACCCCAAGTAAGAGAAGTAGGCCAAGACACTCAAGCAAGGTAAGGCAATCAAGTACAGTAAGCCAAGTACCTCAAGCGCGCCAAGTAAGTGAAGAAGGCAAGACACACAAGTAAGCCAAGTACCTCAAGCACCCCAAGTAAGTGTAGTAGGCTGAGACTCTCAAGCAACCCAAGACACAGCAACAACAACAACAACAAGTTTATTCAGTATTACCATTTTGTACAGGTGTTACCGATTAAAATAACAATAATAAACAGCTAAGTTTAAGGAAATACAGGTATGATGGAATAGTAGAATTAACTATGTTTCTTTCGTCTTTCAAATGCTTGAAAGATGAAATTAGCAGCTAGCCTGCTGATATGTGAATCAGTATTGTTAAAAAGAAAACAGACTTTATCATGGATATTGTAGTGTGTAAATAATGTATTTCGGTCGTTGATTTTAATAAAAAGAGTCTTTCTCAAATCATTGTATTGATCACAGTGAAATAATATGTGCTGTTCATTTTCAACCGAATTTTGGCTGCAATGATCACAGATTCTAAGGTCTTCAGGAGTAAGCCAAGTACCTCAAACACGCGAAGTAAGTGAAGAAGGCTAACACTCTCAAGCAACCCAAGACACACAAGTAAGCCAAATACCTCAAGCACGCCAAGTAAGTGAAGTAGGCCAAGACACTCAAGCAACCCAAGACACACAGGTAAGCCAAGTACCTCAACCATGCCAACTAACTAACGTAGGCCAAGACACTGACTCAAGCAGCCCAAGACACACAAGTAGGCGAAGGAACTCAAGCAGCTATAAACTAACATGCCCATTAGCTGTACAAAAGTAAAGACGTCTCTGGGGACGAGGGTCAGCACTCGTTAACATCCGTTGAAAGGCCCTTTAATGTTCGGTCGGATTTCGTAAACGAATGGCATCACGCTCGCCTTGTAGTATATATTTACCTGTGGCTTATGTATGCTTCTGCTTCCATCGTATACTGATTTGTCTGATGATCCGATGTTTGTTTCGAGGTCTTGCTTTTTCGATCATCCCTCGATTGATTCAAACAAGAACATGTCACTGTCTCTGTTTAAAGGATGTTTTGAAGTTTCAAGCCTCTTCTTGCTCCGCGGGGTAAAGGACCTTCAGTGGATGTTACTGAATAACATCCCTTGAATGGCCCCAGATCACCAGGCTAGGTGACAATTATACATCATCGCTCTCCTTATTGAACACATGTACAGTGTAGACTGATCGGTGTAAAAATCGCCATACTTAAATATATTTTCACATTTGAGAAGAAGGATCAATATTGTTATTTATTTAATGATATTTATTTATTTATTTAGGCTTATTTATCTCATGCTTTGTACCAGATGAAAATGCTCTTTGGCTGGAAGCCATTGATACTATGTAGTCTTCATCTATATGATATCTACAAGTTATTTCTTGGGAAAGGATGCCGATCAGGTCAATGGATTTGTTCAAGATTTTTTAATACTTTTCTTTAACAGTACATTAAAATGAATAAATGTTGGAATCAATTTTGAATTCAGCTTAAGTACCCATCAGAGTTTTGACTGGGCTTCTTGTTGTTCCGTCAAAAATGTCTTTTAAAAACTGAAAGGGGAGGGTCCAGAGAATTTGGAAATGGTATCTTCCCATCTGCATTAGCCCTTCCCTCTCTGTAAAAATCCCCACTCCCTGATTTCTTTGAGGTTTTGCTTGAGTATTAGTCTGAAAGTGCACATTAAAGCCTCTTCTTCTGTAATTGTTCCTTCAACTTCTTTCGCAGTAAAGGCGTGTCATTCTAGAAAGAAAAAATGCCCCATCAGTCGATTAAGTAGAGCAGATGCCATCTAATTTCATGAAACAAAAACAAACATGGAAAAGTAATTATTCAACAGAAAGATTTTTTATCCTTGTTTGATCATCAATAACCATCCCTTCCGTTTTCGATGTGCAGTATTGACTGTGTGATTTGACTGGTGGATTGATTTTTAGTGCACTCTCAATCCTTCTTTTTCGCTCTATGTATTAATTTTTTCTCTTATATTCTAATCACTCTGAAACGATTATAAAATATTTTGTAACTAATCTAAATAATCACAAAACACAGAATAGGAGCGGGCATCTCGTTTATTGATGAAGCGAGCGTAAAGCGTTACAAAAAAAACAGCATTACAGTTTTACAAACTCAGATAAAATTACAACAGTAAATAAAATAAAAAAACTAGGGTTGAAAGAGATGCCTCGAATGGCTCTTTCATAACTTACCAAACCTTAAATAGTGTACTAGCCCCTTGGGACACCTTCCAAGCACGCCTTAAATACTTCAGCAGTATTTTGCAACCTAATATACATACTCTTGTGAAACTAACAAAACGTTACAAAATATATTTATATTCTAATCACACTGAAACGATTATAAAATATTTTGTAACTGATCTAAATAATCACAAAACACAGAATAGGAGTGGGCATCTCGTTTATTGATGCCTGCCTTCGAAAATAAAGAAAGAGAAATGGCAAACTAAATATTTAAACTTTTAGACACCGAGAGAAGAGAATCTAGTTTGTCCTTAATATAACCGTCTTTAGCTTGATCCGTTTTCCACCTTCCATGACGCTTAAAAAGCCGATCGCTAACGCCTGCGTTAGCGGCCGTGGAAGTACCTCTCGCCCTTAAACTATGTAAACCAAATAAAGTCTTCGGATAACCTAATTCAACAAACGCTTGTAAAACTATTTCTCTCGTTCTAGAGTAACTCATACCCGTACTACGCAAACTATAAGTAGAGGTTGCCTTATGAAAATACAAAGAGCGAAAAAAGGGTAACGAAGGCGACAAATCTAAATTAGCAGCTGAAACATATCTGCGAAGCAGATTGAAGGGGCAAGAAACGTACCCTTTTTTTGCCAACAAGACGTAGGCACCATCCCTATTAACATCAGTTTTACTTTTGTAAACGTAAATCTTGACAAAAGAATCGCAAAAACTAACATCGCAACAGCGTAGGCTAGCTAACTCGTTATAGCGGAGAAAAGCGGTACACGCGGTTACGCAAATGGTTGCTAAACGAAGATCAGAAAGATTAGCATTAGGACCGGCAAACCTATTACAAATATCTAAAATCATGGCGGGGGTAACGGGTTCTTTTTTGGAAACAGGTTTCGCAAGACCTCTTTTAGCCGCCTCGAGCACGTTCTTAACCAATTTGGAATCGCAGGGACTTTGAAAACCATACAAATTATGCGCCCAATTAATACCATAGCAAGCAGACTCTAGGGAAGAATAAGGGGAACCACCTTGAATCAGGGACTCTAAATAAAGAGCAACTGATATCTCGTCCGATGGCAGGCAAACGACCTCGTTATAAGGTGAAGACCATTCCCTGAATTTCTGAAAAGCTCTTGAGTAACGGTCCGTCGTCGAAGGAGCCTTCTCTTCAATGGTACGCAAGGGAAGATCGGCTGCTAACTTACGAAGCTCTGGACCCTTTAGATGAGCACTCTTCAAAGCAAATGCACGTCCACCTTGTAGAAACATAGACATAATAAGAAAAGAAAAATAATTATGAGCAAACGACTGAGCAAGTTAAGTAAAAATAAGACGCCTCAATGAGGAAAAAAGTCAACCAGCCAAAACGGCTTACACACAGACAGCCAATGGCGTAAAAACGGACAATCTTCATGTACTGGCAAAAACTAGTGCGTTCGTCGTAAACTGGCCCAGTAGCCTAGTGGTCCAGCGGACCAGCGGCCTAGCGGCCAAGTGGCGTACAACTCCACAGCAACCTATACAGATTCCCGTACAGCCCCGTCGAGCAACAGAAAAAGCACTGGGGTACTAAAATTCTCTGATCCAAAAAGGGAAATCTTGTTCCCCCATAGAGAAAAACATCCTTACCATTCTCAACGTAGAGACAATCTGAAACAAATGATTTGAAAACACCCCCGCGTTCCACCAAAAGGGGCCAGTAATGGGCTGACGGCCAATAAGGAACTACCAAAATTCCCCGACAACGACACAAACAGACATGAAGGATGACCTTCTTAACTAGCGAAACAGGTGGCACAAGCCAATATGTTTCGCCGACCCAACTAAAGGCGAGCGAATCGACACCCAAGGAATCTGGATTAAAGTACTTGGAATAGAACCTGGGAACCTTGCTATTTTTGTAGCTAGCAAAACAGTCTACTGAGCAAGGGCCCCAAACAGAGGTAACAGCATGAAAATAGCAATCTTTGACTGTCCAGTCATCATAATCAACAATCTTACTCAAATAATCTGCTCTCTCATTCTGAGTACGAGGTATCCACTCAACGTCAATGTCAATCTTATTATCTTTGGCGGTCTGAAATATGTCGAGCGCCAAGATATGCAAATGCTCCTTCAT